AAGGAGGGAGGGAAGTCGGGAAGTCCTAAGGTACGTTTGGACAGCCGGCTGGTGTGAGACTTCTCTTGCTACCGTGAATCTCATCAAATCTGCATACGCTGCGCGCATATCTGATCCCATTTAGCTTTTTTCTTTTCTTTAAAGATTTTTAAATTTTAGTTTTCTAAGCTGACACAGAATGACTGTACCTATTCGTGTGGCACACAGTGACGTTTGGATGCACATTAACGCATGGCAATCGGACCAGGGTAACTACCACACCCGTCGTCTCAAACATGCATCCTTTATCTTTGTGTCGGGAACACCCGGCATCCTCCTGGTAGCTGTTCGAAGCCACAGAACGTACTATTGGGAACTACAGCCGTCGACGGTGCTGTGGGACAGCAGACCTCACCCTCCTGTCCGGCCGTAATTTCAACATCCTTTAACAGATCCCCTCCCTCCGCCCCTGCCAGCCTCTGGGACCCCTCATTCTGCATTTTACTTCAACGAGATCCACTTTGACTCCCACGCATGGCTGAGAACACGCAAAATTTGTCCTTCTGTGCGTGGCCTATTTCCTGTCCCACGATGTCCTCCTGTCCCATCTGTGTGGCCACAAAGGACGGGATTTCATGCTTCTTTACGGCTGAATAGTGATCCGTTGCGTGCGTACCGCATCTTCTCCGTGCGTGCACCTGTTCACGGACACCCAGGCGGATTCCGTGTCTCGGCTGTTGTGAACAGCCCCGCCAGGAACGTGTGGGTGCAGATATCTCTCTTTTTTAGATGTTTTTTAAACATTGCAACATATTACAGGGGTACAAATGTTTAGGTTGCATATATTGCTTTTGCCCCATGCAAGTCAGAGCTTCAAGCGTGTCCATCCCCCAGACGGTGCACACGGCACCCATTAGGTGTGAATTTACCCGTCCCCTCTTCCCCCTCCCGTCTGCCCGACACCCGATGAATGTTATTACTATACATGCACCTAAGTGTCGATTGATCGATTAATACCAATTGGATGGTGAGTACATGCGGTGCTTGGTTTTCCATTCTTGGGACACTTCACTGAGTAGAATGGGCTCCAGCTCCATCCAGGATAACACAAGAGGTGCTAGATCTCCATTGTTTTTTGTGGCTGAGTAGAACTCCATGGTATACATAGACCACATTCTACTAATCCACTCATGCATGGATGGGCACTTCGGTTGTTTCCACATCTTTGCAATTGTGAATTGTGTTTTTTGTGGCTGAGTAGAACTCCATGGTGTGCATAGACCATGTATCTATTTCACACACAGATTTCTTTGCATAAATGCCCCGGAGTGAGATTCCTGGGTCAGACGGTGGTCCTGTCTAACTGAGAAATGCAGGCCGAATTTGGAAGCTCAGAACAGAGACTATATAACCTTTCTCATCCACCATCGACATGCAGATTATGTTATATTATATATAAGCATTAAATGCAATGAGCTTGTGCTAATTTGTTACACAGGCATGCCGGGAAACTGACACGGATTTCCACGCCAATTCTGTTTGACTTATAAACCACAGAGAAACCACAGCTCATGTTCTCACCGATCTCCTTCGTGGACAAAATCGAATCGAAGAACTGGATCCCCACGGTGCGGCTGGTCCCGTTGAGCAGAAAGTAGTTGCGGAAAGTCAGGCCCGAGAGGTTTCTCAGGTGGCACCCCACGTGGGTCCCCAAGTGTTGGACGTAACGAGGACATTCTCTCTCCCTTTTTCTCCTGCAAGAGTCCAACGTGTTCAGGGAAGCAACCAGGAAAAAAAAAAGAGAAATCAGCATTATTCGTACACCCTTCGCCGCCGCCCCGAGGGTCACGCGGATGCAGTCAACGCTTACTTTGAGTCTCGTATGTACAAAAAATACTGGACGTCGCCCGGGGCCGCTGCACCCTTGGCCCAGGAGCAGTTCATGAAATCCACATCGTAGATAACACAGGAGAAGTTGCGGGCAGCGGTGCCCTCCCCACCTGGGAAGACGCAGAGGCCAAATAACTTTCACTGGAGCATGAAAAGGGGATCTACTTTGATGCTGGTGGTGGGGGGCGGGGGGTGGCTTCAAGGGGTCCATGCGCTGCCTTCCCTACCTGGGTTACTATAGAGCACTTTTTCCCGGAATGATCGTTCGCTGGTATTGACCTGAACCTCCAGCAGGACTCCGCGATGCAGAGGTGTGTCCTCAAAGTTGCACCAACATTCCTTCTTCCTGGGCTGAAAAAAATTGCAACCGGCCAATTAGGAAACAGAGCCCCGTGTCTGAGCTTCATACACACAGTCCTGCCTCCCTCGTGAAATGCCCCCGCCTCTGCCACCTCCGAGGACTCTGCGTGGGTGCCCCCAAATGCCAACCTGCCGGAAGGAATGTGCTAAGGTGCAGATTTGGGCTAAGCAAGTTCTGGAGGGCGCCTGTTACTCTGCATTTTTTTTTTTTTTTGGAGACAGAGTCTTGCTGTGTCACCCAGGCTAGAGTGCCGTGGTGTCATCATAGCTCACTGCAGCCTCAAACTCCTGGGCTCAAACCATCCTCCTGCCTCAGCCTCCCAAGTAGCTGGGACTACAGGTCCATGCCACCATGATGCCTGGCTAGGTTTTTAATTTTTTGTAGAGGTGGGGTCTTGATATATTGTCCAGGCAGGTGTCAAACAGCTGTCCTCAAGCAATCCTCCCACCTCAGCTTCCCAAAGTGCTAGGATTATAGGCGCACGCCCGCCACACCGGCTAATCTTTCTGTGTTGTAGAAATGGGGTCTTGCTATGCTGCCCAGGCTGGTCTCAAACTCCTGGGCTCAAGCGATCCTCCTGCCTCAGCCTCCCAAGCAGCTGGGACTACAGTCAACGGTAATGATGTGACTAAGTCTACCATTGGCACCACCTCGCATGGATCGAACAAGCAAAAGTCTGTCACTCCGTACAGGCGGGAGGGGGAAGGTTTTTCTAACCAACACCTGCCTCGAGGGGTCCCCAAGTTCGAAAGTCACACAGTAAAACTGACGTCTTCCCTGACGGCTCTCGTTGGACATTTACTCCCCTCGAGAGTCACCCCTGGAAACTCTGGGAGGTTTCGGGTGCCTATGGGGCTCTGCCGCCCCTGCCTGTCCCCCCATGCGGCTGGCCAGTCACACGTCCCCTTCCTGAGTGTTCCCAAGGTCCTGCTGGAGTCCTGCCTCCCGCTTTGGGCAGCTCCGCTGGCTCTGAGGCTGCAGACGCCCCCAGCTGGGGGCTCCTCCCCTGCTGTGGGTGCCTGAGGCCCTCGGTCTGCCTGGGGAACCCTGGAGCCCCGAGAGCTGGGCCGGGGTCACTATATATGTGTCCTGTATGTATCTATCCATCCTCTGCATTTCTGTCTTCCTCTCTCCCTCCTCCTCATCGCTCTTCCGTCTCTGCCGTCCTCCCTCCCCCTAAATCCTGACATTGAGTCCCCAGGGTGGGGGACACAGGGACAAAGGGGGCCCCACTCCACTGCTCCTCCCCTTTCTCCGCGGACTCCGCGTCCCGTCCACGTGTACCTGCCGGGATCGGTTTCCCCTTAGGCTACACCGCGCTCCTGCCCCAGGGACTCAGGCCTCCGACCCACCTGGCACAGTACCCGGCGCTGCCCTGGTCCCCCGGCGTCCCACCCCGCGGGTCTCCAAATGCCACCCGTGTACCCGCAACTCACCTCTGTCCTTGTCCGGCTTTTAGCTCGGGGAGGGCCGCAGGAAAGACGGCGCTGAGCACAAGAAACCGCTTACCTTTTTCACGACGCGGTCTTCCTCCTTGAGAAGCATGGTGCACCTGCCGCTGGTCGTGTTCTCCTTGCAGTCCCAGGCTAGTGTCATGGTCCTGGGGTCGAACTTCACATTCAGAGAGGGCTCCGGATCCGGGGTTGGCGGATCTGCAAAGAGACGCCGCTGCGTTCAGAAACGACACTTTGCCCAACCAACTAGTAAGCGGAGTTCAGGGCCAGAGGTGGTGGACGGTCCCCTCTCCTGCAGGCGACCCCGGGACGGCTCCACGGAGGAGGCGTCTCATCGTGGGACAACGTCCCGGCTTCAGCCTTCGATGGACCCAGGCACCCCAGGTCAAGAGAAACCCATCCTGGACCATGAACAGCCCGCGAGACAAAGGCCAGGCTGGACGCAGCATACACCTCGTGCCGACTGAGCCGCCCACGGGGTCCTAGTGTGGTCGACAGAGAGACCCAGTCCAGGCTCTGACCTGGGCAAAGGCTGGGGCCTTCCTACCACCCCTCTTTGCAAATCACAGCAACGTTCGGAAGCACAAAGGCGGGCTTGAATCTCAGCGCTGCCGCCCGCCAGCTCTGTGACGTTCTTCAAGTGGCTTTGCCTCTCTGTTCCCCATCTCAGTAGGGGTGCTAGGTCACTCTCTGCTGGAGAGGCCCTCCATGTCCACTCACCTGCAGGCACTAAATGCCCAAAAGGTGCATTTAGCTTCTAGTGTGGGTGACGGCGGCTTGGCATTGAAACAGAAAAATGTCATGAGGATCCAGGTCTTGATCCCGGCCCCGTCACCAGCTGGGTGGTTATTAGGTTAAACCATACAGGTCTCGGAGCCTCAGTTTTCTCATCTGTACAATGGGCGCATGGGCATTCACAGCACCAAAGGGGCAGAGGACGACAGGAGCTCTGAGACTTCCAGCGGGCCACCTGGGGCTCACCAGGTCCCTAATAAACATTGAGGTGAAATGACATTGGACCCAAGCATTGGGATACGTCCCCAGACACTAGAGACATCGACACGGGGGCCACAGTAAAGCATCGACCGTGTCCCCCACACTCACCCAGGTGCTCCGGAGTCAGCAGGAATGCCGGGGCCAGCAACTTGGAGAGTAGAAAGGCTGTCGCCAGGAGAACCATGGGGCTACCCACGGGACACGATGACGCTACAACGGAGAGATTGTCACAGATTGAGAAAACCAGCTGTGCCATGGGACTGCCAGCAGGGGGCCCCGTAGGATGTTCCCCCAGGGACATGATCTGGAGAAACAAACACAGGAAAGTGGTTGGGGGTGATCTGTCACCTGGGGGACCAACACTGGCTGCAGAGGGTCCACGGAGACATCCATGTACGTAACACACGGGAGTCAGACGTGCACATATTTGGGGACGTTATTCTGTCTACCACATGGGATGAGGACGTGGACATCTCTGGGGACATTATTCTGTCTACCAGATGGGATTAGGACGTGGACATCTCTGGGAACAGCATTCTGTCTACCACATGGGATTAGGACGTGGACATCTTCGGGGTCTCGAGATGGTTAATTTATCTGAAGCTTTGCTGGTTCACATGGCCTCAAGGCCATGATGAGACAAAATGCTGACCCCACAATGCTTTGGGCAAATTGCCATGGCTCTTGTTGGTTTCTCACTGCTTCTGCTTTCTCTTAATAATTGGTGTGGATTTGGGGAGAATCAATCAAGAAATGGTGGGTCAGGTTTCCATTTTGACAATAACAGGGGCTTTTTGTTATTTTTTGAGCTTTTTTTTTTATTTCGGCATATTATGGGGGTACAGATGATTAGCTTACATATGATGCCCTTGCCTCCCTCCCCCCCAAGTCCGAGCTTCAAGTTTTTTTTTTTTTTTGAGACAGAGTCTCACTTTGTTGCCCTGGCTAGAGTGAGTGCCGTGGCGTCAGCCTAGCTCACAGCAACCTCAAACTCCTGGGCTCAAGCAATCCTACTGCCTCAGCCTCCCAAGTAGCTGGGACTACAGGCATGTGCCACCATGCCCGGCTAGTTTTTTCTATATATTTTTAGCCATCCAATTAATTTCTTTCTATTTTTGGTAGAGACGGGGTCTCCCTCTTGCCCAGGCTGGTCTAGAACTCCTGAGCTCAAACAATCCGCCCGCCTCGGCCTCCCAGAGAGCTAGGATTACAGGTGTGAGCCACCACGCCCGGCCGAGCTTCAAGTTTTTAACTCGAGTTTTGCTGTAATGAAAAAGCGTAAGTGAAAAAAGGAAAAGGAAGAATAAGAGGGGTAAGTACCTAAAAAGACGCTAGAGAATCTTAGCACACTGACTGCCCTGCGAGTTGTATTTAACTCGGGCTGGTTTCCACCCCGGGGCCGTGTGAAGAAAAACCCTGCGGCTGGTTCGTGAAAATCTGACTCATTGATGTCTTATTGTCACCATGAATCTTGACAATTTCCCTCTAAAAACGTGCATCGCGTTGCCTAGAACTGGCGCACAGAAAACAAGAAAAATTATAGCACATTAGAAAGGATCGTTTTGTTTTAATAAAACACCGTGGCCCCAGGTGAAAAATTCTTTTTTTCTAGTGCGGCAGTCGGTGTGTGAAATGCATATTGGTGCGTGAAAGAAACCAGTGTCAAAAGGCTACACTTTGTATGACTTCAACATGGGAACATTCCAGAAAAGGCAAAAATGATGGAGATGAAAGAGGTCGGGGTTGCCAGGAATTAGGGGGTCGGAGGGGTGAAGGGGCAGAG